CGTCGATCACTACTGAGCTTAACCATACATTACATGCCCGTTAACCAGGCCCAGCAGTCGCTTATGATAGTTCTAGAAGCTCTACTCCAGTAACTTTGAGTCTCGTCGTTTGATCTTGTCCGGTTCCATGTCGTCTTCGGCCTCTTCCTCAACACAAACCCCATCCACATCCTCGCCCCACAGACGTAGCACAGCATCCTTCCTCCAGTCGCACTTTCTCCGAGTGACTGCTTGCCTTGTTATCTTATGTACTTTGTCGCATGCCGCCATAGCCTTTTTAAGTCCTTCCTTGCCTTTTCCATTGAGCCAATTCTCGAATTCAAGAATGTCGGGTGTCTGCTTTTTGAACCTTCTGCGGCAGAGTTCTTGAGCGATATGCTTGATTAAAGGGTTTGTGGGAGGGAAGCGACGTACCGACATCTCGAGCTCGCTAATACTGAGAAGTCGAGATGATACGAGCGCGCAAAGGGTGCCGAGGAGAGATACAGAGTGAGTGTAGTGGATGCCGAGAACTAAACACGCTTGGTATGTTAGTACATCGTTACGAAGATTACCGGACACAAGGTCAACGCGATCAAGGCCAAGAAGCTTGGATGTAGTGAATACGTCAAGCAAGCGTTTGATACTTCTTTCATCGGCATGACTATGCATACGAAATCGTGTGATTTGGGGCGTGATCTGAACGGCATCATTGGCCTTTTGGCATGAAGCTATCAACGCACGAAGAGCTACGTCTTTCCGGATGACGATACCCCGGGCAATGACATCCACGGTTGGTCCCTCGAGCAGTACCTTGCGGTCTTTGGTATCCAAATCAAGGACGTTTATCGAGTGTTCAGCGATGCGCTTTAAAGGTCCACTTTCAGGGATGTCAATCGCTTCCGTAATAATACGATCGCGCTTTTGCTCTTGGCCAATGATTGACTTAGCTCGGACATTTGGTGCGTCGCGCCGTATCACAGGCGACCAAGTTGGCGCAGTCGGAAGAGTGATCAGTACAGGGTTCGGCATGATGGCGATCGATAAGCTACGATAATCTCGCTCTACTCAAATGCGTTTGTTGTACATTCTTCCAGCTAGAACATAGGGTGGGCGTATTAGCGAGTGAAGTCGAGCAAGCGAAAAGGCCATTGTGATATGCTAATGTATCGCACAACGCACAACCCATGACATGGCATCACAGCCATTCGAAGAGCCCTGTAAAGATCCCACAGAACAATGGATGGGCATTGTCGAGGGATGAGGTAGCGGCGAGGCTATCAAGTATATATCTGTGGGATACTGGTGGGCTACAGCTATAATCCTCAAGGCCGCAGACACCGTATCCTCGTGGATTACGATGTGTTGGGCGGCCGCCAGCCAAGCGAGCTTCAGACTATGCTCCCTTCAATCGCATGTGGAGCTTCGTGACCGTTGGGACCCCTCTGTCTACCTCGACAAGAGCCGAACTTCTACAGTGGTGTTGGTATGCGTGAGAGTGTGATTGTAGTCGCAGCGTGCATGTTGGTGTTCTTAAGGTTCTTGTCGGTACCAGAGAACAGCCAGCTTGTGGCTCTGGAGATGATGCGAGGCTGTCTGACGAGACGATCGGGCTACGGCGCGGAGCGAAGATGGCGGTTCTATCGGTTGCTGAGACGCGGCAACTTTGAGAAGGTTTCCTATATCCTATTTAGGCGCATAATTTGAGGCTGATGAGGGCTCAGTCAATGTGGTCGTCAGTCTCCGTGGGCGACTGTTGGCGAGCGGCCAAACGCCATTCTGATGTCTGACGCGTCGGATGCGCTGAAGGGAAGCGAAGTACTTGGAAGCATAAGCTGAGATAGATGGCTTGGGCCTTCTGCACGTAATCGTGTCGGCTAGGGCCTGTTGCGACTATGACGGCGGTGCTGATGGTGGAGAGCAAACAGTCCACGGGTGTTGCTCAGGAATCGCGTCATCCGGAGTAAGTTCGGCTGGCGCTACTGTGCCGAGCAGGCACGCGTCCGACACGCGCGACAGCTCTTTCACTTCAACACTCTGTCGCCAACTCCAGTCGTCATTGAACAGTCAGTCGTTCATCGTGTGCAAATACTCATTTTCCTCATACGCGTTCCACAAGAGTCTTCTGCCGTCTGATTGAACATGACGTTTGACTACAAGCCGCATATTGCCACAAATATATTTACTTTCAATCAAGCGACGAGTCCTTTAGATCATTGACAAGTTGCAATCCAGAAAGAGTTATAGCGGTTCAGGCACACGGTTTAGCAGTCGCGATGGCCTTCTCCAAATGCGTAAGAAAGCTGCGATGAGATGCTACATCAGCATAACTAGAAAGAGCCAGGAGTATGAAAACGGGCACGAGTAGTCCGATGAGGGCGATATTCATGATCTTCTAGGGTCCCGATTAGGACTACCCCACATTGCTCTTTCCTCATTCAATCCGGCTTCCTCGCGTTGTGCGACAGTTTTGCGCTCGGGTCCCTGCCTACCTAGGTAGTCACGTGCACTGGGACCCGTCCGTTTGCATGTAAATAAACCGCGCCTCGAGCTCGCTGCCTAAGAACACTGAGCTCTATACCAAATCTACTCCCACTACGTAAAGACGGCTCTTCTGTTTTCTCCAACTGACAAACGCGGAATCACGTCGAACCGCTCAGTCTGCGCCGCATCATCATCGTGTTTACGATGGCGACCACGGACATTGCAAGCAGTCACCTAGCTGCAGAACTTTCGTACGTTTCAATCACCATCAAAATAACGCCATGTGCTAACCCCAGGTCTAGTGAGCCATCTCCAGCTATCCAAGGCCAATCCAAGTCCAAGTCTGCACGTTCTCGTCGCAACCGGGCTGCTAAGAAGGCGGCACTCCTCAAGAACGAGAACAACATCGCTTCCTCTACTGAGCAGTCTGGTTCTCCCGAGTCTGCTGATACTACCAAGAACGCCATACCGGACCAAGGTGAAGACTTGATCAATGAGACCATCAGCATCCCCGACACTGACGCCTCTGCGACCGCCTCTTTGCCCAAAGAGCCACTTACTACCAAGACCAACCTTAAACCCGCTACTAATCTCGGATCCGACCCCAAGCCGACCCCGCCGTCGTCTTTTCCTGTCTCCGAGGCTGCCGATGTCCCTCCCCAGCCAAAGACTGCAGTAAAGCAGTCAGCCCTATCGCCGTCTTCCACCGTCATAGATCAGCCTATCGACAACCTGCTCGAGATGATACGAGCGCAGCGTCAGGCTCTTCTCCAAGGCCCTCGCGTCACCATTCGCATTGGAGATACATCCGTTGAGGGTATCTCCAAGCGCGCAGCAATGGCTGCTTCTACTGTTCTCCACAAATATTTCACCGCTAATCCTCAGTTGCATGAGTATGTTTTCTCACGTGGCCATATACACCCTGGCGCAGTCCGCCTTCTACTCATCGGCTGGATGCACGAGACGTGCAATGAGTTCGAGGCCTACGCTGTCCCGGCTCAGAAGACCTTCGGTGAAGACGTTGCGCTTCTTCGCGCTGCCCGCCTGTTAGGTATGGAGCGCTACTGCAGCCATATCCACGCCGGCTACGTCGAGTACCTCAAGACCCAGCTCCCGAGCTACGAAGAGATCATCGCCGTCGAACAGAACGCCATGTCTGACAAAGACCCACTCTGGACCGCAATGGTCAACCACCTTTGCCACGACCGCTACAAACGCCTTATACCCGACCCTGAAGACTTTGCGGCGTTCTTGGAGAAGCACACTCGGTTAAGGAAAGCTATGGAGTCCGCTGATATATTCTTTGCTGGAATGGCAAAGAGGCAGGTTGAAGGCCGGGAGCGAGAGCGGGAGAAAGAGCGCCGTCAGCGTTGGGAGTATAACCAGGCTGAGAAGCACGCGCGCATTGCTAAAGAGCGACTTGCTGCTGAGTCGCTGAAGAAGAAAATGGATGAGAAGGGCTCAGGTCTGATGACCGTCACTGCGGAGGAGGCTGAGCTGCTTCGAGGGCGCACCCGCACCCGCTAGAAGACCGCTGAACGCAGCCTCTGCCTTCACCTCGGATTTACAGACAGTATCTTTTCACTGGCTGTATAATGGCGCGTAAAACAGACTAACAGCAAGTCCTTAGGCCATCGGACACCTGAAGGGGTGAAAACAAGCATGTGCAGGCGCTCAGGTGTTTTAGCACGTTCCTTCTTCCTGCTCTTCCTCAGGGTATCAATTACCGGGCAGATAGAGGTCAAAATAAAGTGACTTTGGAATACATGGTAGATGCAGATGTGTATTAATCCAACCCAATCTCTAAACCCCCATGTCTCTACTGATTACATCAAATATCTTATTTGAAACTTCATGCGGCTGCCTCTACCATCGTCCCAGCCATCATCCTCTCTTGTCGTCTCAGAACTCATCCGCCCAATCACCCAGTTCCTCATTCCAATCATCACTGCCTTCTTCGCTCTTCTCGTATCCCTCCCACCAACTCGCTACAGTCACTGGCGGCTCACACTCTTTGCACCTAGCCTTGATATATATCGCATTGTCCTTGCCGACTAACCCAGTATGGTGTCCATGTGGTACGACATCGAGCTTGTTGTTGCAGTCATCCTCTGCGCAGATGATCGTGCGAACGTCCATCGGAGAAGATGAGCGTGAATGAGGTGATACGGCGCCGATCTCACCCGCAGTTCTGATGCCATGTTGGGGGTGGCGACGAACGACCTCGGGGCTATTTGGTGGGTAAGACATCGCGTTGTTGACCTTCGAAGCGTTTGTATTTCTTGAAGAATCTGGCTGGTTGCGTTATGATAAGCGAAGACAAGATCTTAGGAAGGGAGGTATTTATGACGTTGCTGATTGCTTGGTTATGACGATTGTGATTGTGTGGAGGAGGGGAGCAAGCCCGAAGGGCGCTTTGTGGTGAGTGAAGTAAGCTATGGTACAGTAAAGTGTTATACATCCCTCATGACCCTATTGCAATGTCATTCACAAAGTGTGAATGTCACTGCTATTCATAGTACGTCATCAGCCCAGCCTCATTCATCTCTCCACCATTCATCTTCCAACAGGTCCTTCGCACTCGGTCTATCCCTCCAGTCCATCTTCATTATCCTACGGACAAATTCGTTATCCTTCCTTGACAGCTCCAACTCTGAGATGACCTTGAACATTCCCTGCTGCGCTGGCATATTGTTCCTCTTCAAAGACGCTAGGGTGTTAGTAATCTCTTCATCAGCTATCTCGACGGTCTTGTTTGGAAACGGCCCGAACCAGTATAATTGTCGCAGAAGAACATGCAAGGGGAGATTTTCCTTATCCTCCTCGGCTTTTGGGCCCTGAGGGACGCATAGGTTGAAGTGAGAGCCGTAGTGCATGTGCACAAACTATACATGGTAGTCATCAGCCCAGTGAACGCTAGATGAACCCGGGGTGATGGTAACGGGCACGAGTCCGATTGTCTTACCAGCAGTCCAAATGCCCAGATATCTGCAGCTGTATTCCACGGTAGTTGCAGAATGGTTTCTGGGCTTACCCATGTTGGTGCGCCACACGGAGTCCCAGAAGTAGGACCTGCACTGGTGACATGAGAGCAATTCCCCATGTCGCCAAGTTTGACCTCGCTGAATCGGTTCTCGCCTTCCTGCATGTTGACGTAGACGTTATCCGGTTTGAGATCTTCGAGTATAATCAGCTCCAAGATTTCGCTACCAGCGGCAGAAAATGAATACCCGCATGTACATAGCCGTCATCATGAAGGCTTTTTAGAGCCTCTAGGACGCTGCGCGAAACGTGCTTCAATTCTTTTCGATTCAAGGCCTTTTCCGCGGACGCTTCCGAAATGGTGGTGTCAAGATACTCCAAAGCAATTGTGACGGGAAGATCTGGGCCCTGGATCTCTTCGACCATTGCTCTGATATAGGGGCTGCGATGCTGAAGTTTCTCGAGAACGTTTCGCTCGTTCGTAACCCCATGGTGACCCTGCTGGGCCTTGATCACCGCCAGCTTTTGCGCTTGGTTTCTGGCGGCCGTTAGAGGTTTACAAGTTTCTTTGTCACCATAACACAGACTTAGCGAGCCAGACAGCTTCTTTGAGTTCTTGAGTGATTGTATACGTCCCGATGCTACCCTTAAGAACTTGGCCGACCCGGAAAAGAGACGACATGGTGTATTCAACGCGAGAACCCTTGGTTAGCGGAGCTAGTCTATAAATACGTACAGCTTTAGCGTCTCATCTCGGGTGGTGTGTTCACGGATGAAGAAGACATGGCACAAAAGATTCTGTGCGGCGCAGTCCTTGGACTCTCGCCGTCATGTCGATCGCCAAGGCACTAACGACAAGTTGGGTGACTTGCAGGAACATCCGTAACGAAAGCATCATTAGGATCATTCGTGTGTATATTTACTCGGGTATTTTAAGTTTTTGATCTCGTTGAAGAGGGTCAGGAGATAAAAAATGACCCAGGTATTTAGCATCATTGACGCAGACCGCCATGTATTGATCAGCCTGGAGCCCTTGCATTTCCGCCGTGCTATCGAGCCAGGAATGAACCAATACCTCTGTAATCATATCAACTCTTCATCCGCTGTGAGAACAGTTTCCTTCGTTCTAAAATGAGATCCAGACTGTCATCTGTTGTTCACGCAACGACTACACTGCTCAAGGAGGCAGCGAGTGCATTGCATGACGGACAAGAGATCGGTACGTTCACATCGCGCACATGCGGTACCCTCATGTTGTTTCCACACGTGCTGGCAGACGGTCGGTGCCATGTCTAGAGCATCGGTAGGAGTCGGCCTCAGAAGATGACCCTCGTCGAACTGCGGACACATGCATGTCTTCCATGTGGCGCCGCACATGTAGCAGAACTGATGACTGCAGCGGCAACTATATATGTTAGTAAATCGAAATGGGAGTATCTCGCGCGCTGCACTTACACGATATGGAAACAGCCAGTGTCTAGCTCGACCAGATTCTTGCACTTGGTGCACTGTTGCCACATGACCTTTCCAGCTGTGGCCATCAACATCTTGGTGTCATCATCCTCGGCACACAATCCTTTATGCGCTTCGTCCTCGCATACCGTACACGTCTTGGTGTCGCACAGATCGCATGTCGCAACGCCACCACTGATGTTTCCTTTCGGAATAACGTGATCGCAATCCGCACCAGAACATGGGGTTTCTTGAGCCTTCTCCTGCTCTGCCTTCTTTTCATCGACCTCGGTCAATAGCTCTCTAGGCAGTAGAACACTGCAGCCCTTTACCCCGTTTTCGTTCGTGTCAAGTGGGATGGTGGCTTTGCAGCATCGAGGCGGGAAGAGTGAGGTATCTTTGTGGACAGCGAAGCGGAACAGGTCTACGATACAGTCCTTGCAGTAAACATGGGAGCATTCGAGCTCGATGGTGTCCTTCTCGGGCTTTGCATCACCGCAGGCACCACAATCGGCAGTAGCCTCTGGTTCCAGCTCGGGTTCTGACTCCGGCACCTCAATGAGTTCTGGTGTGGGACTTGCTTCCTCTGCTACGACGCCTTCGTCATCGGAATTATTCGCGGAGGTGTCGCTGCTTGATCTCGATGGCGTACGTCTTGCTTCGTCGCCGTTGTCGCTTTCGTTATGAGTATCCTGCTGATGTGTTAGTATCTTAATGCATTCAGCGTAGTGGGATATTATCGCAGATTCGCGGAGTGTCCCGCTCATTGTAGGCTAACAGCATACCTGCCCATAGATGATCGATAGTTGATCTTGAAGCGTGTGACGAATAGCGCGATAGCTTGCAGTACCATTGTCGTCGAGTTGAACGCCTTCGAGCGCTTCTGTAATCTCGTCTAGTCTGATCTGGATGACCAGTCTGCCGGTAGCGCGATCGAGCCCAGTGATGTCCATGGTTGATGGCGATAGGTAGAGACGTGAATGTAACGCCAACTTTACCTGTAGCCGATGCAATGGTCTTGATGTATTGATGGAGCTAAACAGAGCGCTAGCAAGCGGGGTGGTGCTTTTCTGTAGCCCTCTTTCACGGAATCAGAGCCTTGAGGGTGAAACCCCAGTGGGGTCGTAAACACTGAGCGAAGATATCCAGTATTTCTACATCAGTACAGTGTATAGTACAACACATAATACACATCGTACAGGTGGTGATGCAAGTGCGCCTTACAAACCAAAGCTATCTCAGTCGTCTTGCCACCACTCATCCTCCAAAAGTTTTTTGGCCGTAGGTCGATTTCTCCAATCAAGCTGCATGATCTTCGAGATGAAATCCCTGTCCTTCTTCGCCACTTGTCCTTCCGTGACAGACGCGAACGGTGTTAGTTCGTCATACGGGATCGTTTCCATCAAATACTGTATGACTTGGGCGATCCCTCCGTCTCCCATTTCTATAAACGGTGGAAGAAAGGGTCCAAAATAGCGGAACTGTCGCTCGAGGACACCTAACAAGTACCCTTGTTCACCGCGCTTTACATCTTGCGGCTGGAACAAATTCCTATCTCCACCGTAGATTAGACTGATGACCTGATGAGCGGACGGTCAGTTTATGCTTTCTGACAATTTTCAGCCGAATCTCAATACATACCACGGTACCAAACGACCATATATCCGTTGCGGTGTTCCAAGGCATCTCTAGGATAACCTCTGGACTAGACCATACAGGCGCACCCACAAGCTTTCCAGATCGAGCCCGCTCTGAGTCCACCGTGCAACAGTCGCCCAGATCACCGAGCTGAACATCAGCGAAGCGGTTGGGTCCCTCCTGAGAATTGAAGAAGATATTGTTGGTTTTGATGTCTTGTCGTCCTGTCAGGCCGGTCCACTTACTTCAACAAATGCATTGCGCATACGTACCCGAGTGCACATAGCCTTTCTCGTGCAGAGTATTCAGAGCTAGCAGCAGCATCCGAGTAACATATTTCAGTTCCTCTCGGCTCAACTTCCTTTCAATCGACGCAGTTAGGACATCACTGTCGAGATACCGCAAAGCAATAAGCGGAGGCATGGCAGGTGGCCCATCCATTTCATCGACCAATGGTCTGATATGAGGGCAATGCTGGAACATTTTGAGCGCATCACGTTCTGCTCGCACCGTTGGAGGTCCGCCTTTGATCACCACTTTTTTATGTCCTTGGTCCCTTGCATAGCTGTCAGTGGCCAAGGCATAGAAGGCGATATCCTGGCCTCACTTCGCAAACCAAAGTGTCGGTGAGACTTGCTTGGTGATCGTGTAGCGGCCTATGCGGCCCTTGAGAACCTCGCCCGCGCGGAGGAGAAACGACATCAAAGCCGTGGTTCCGTCGTCGCGCTGTTCAGCTGCAACAACGCACCAGAAGGCGATATAAATTGTACACAATGATTTGACACGACGAGCATGAGTGAAAACGCCAGTCGAGGCAGCGTGGATGGATGCGAGAAAGCCCTGGAGCAGTTGGATGCGGCGCAGCCTCGCCAAGGCGCTACACACCCAGGTAGGTAAGGCCTCGTGAGGTTGGTCGGCATGTCGGCGTAAAGCCTTGAGAGCTCCTACACCAGCACCATGACTACCAGAAACTATAGACTTGCGTCGACCGCGCTACGCGCGCAACTGTTCTCACAGACTCACACTCTCGTATACCGAAGGCCTGGCTCAAGCGGTTAGCGGCGAGGCTTTTTGGACATGCCGGAGCCTAGGCCCGTCTGTGCCAAGTCGATATATAGTCCTGACCCGAGAATATGCATGTGAGTCAGATTCCATCCTATGTACCTGGAAGCACGACAGAGATTTCATCTTCTCAACGAGTAACAGTGGTGCGTGGATCTGAGTGCATGAACACATGGCTGTTCGAATGGCAAGCTGGACTAAGGGTGGTCCCGTACCGCGCCCCATAGGCTCCCCGTCATTGTGAACTCATTGCATCGCCTAAAGTTGGTAGTCAGGCATGCTTTGAGATAGCTGAAAGTTGCAGCAGCATGTCAGAGCTGAAGTCGTAACAGGGTCTGGCATGATGTCAGACTTCAAACATGATTTCAGATACTCGACACATCACATCTCTCGATACCTGGCTATCACAAGACTATATAGAGAGAAATCTCGAGATCCGAAGCGTCTAACAAAAAATAAGAGGCGAGAGGGGAGGATGGCCTCGGGAAGCCCCCCTGTTCTCGTACAACTCGGATGTGCTCCGGGTCGCCCACTTCCACTTCACGCCGGACCGCGGCATGCGCGACATGCCCAAAGTAATTAGATGATTCCCTCTCTGCGCCAGTATTACACGCATGCCAGATACGAGGGCAAGGGGCTGTCATCGCTGCCTTCTTCTGAGGTTAAAATCGAATTTGAAGTCCGTCGCCATTCACCGTTTCAAGCCCCCTGAGATGGTTCCGTCACCGATTAGACTTATCACGATGAGAACAGTGTAACGCGAAGCTATGAAAGCAGACATCATGATAGGCTTCGACATCATGTCATTGATATTGCAACACCGATCCCGAATACCCTCAGACGTAGTTCAGTCAGAGTCACTGCCTAAAAGCCACCCTACCGCCTGGAATAAGACGAACTTGTAAGCACTGATGTGCTGACCTGCGTAGAAACGATAAATTCCTGCACAGATATGAAGCTTACTTCAACTTCCGCGCAGACACGAGGCACTCCTGGAAGTCGACCACCAACTGTCTAGCATCTAGACCATTGGCAGAGTGCAGCGTGAGACCGGAAAGCCTACCTGCAACGAAGATACAGACCTGTATTGCGTCTTTCAAGACAGAGTCCCTTGCTTATGTTGTTGTATATAAGACGTTGCCAGCTCTAGAGAAATCTCGCACCAGCATCAACAGCATCACCAAGCACACGAAACTCGACAATTACCAATACTCATTGTTCAACATGATTTCCTCCAAACTCCTCAGTCTTTCTAGCTTGGCTCTGCTTCCTTTGGCCTTTGCGGCTCCAGCTCCAGCTCCAATACCCCTCTCTGCCGCTAATGCTGCGATTCAATGGATTCCGATCGACTTCAATGGCAAAACTCTCTACCTCAATAGCGCAGCAGTAGTCGTGTCTGCCAACCCCGGTGATGTGGCGACACGAGCTCTGCTCACTGGCTCCCCCGACTCTGACACCTGTGATGGCACCACGCTCGACCCGCATCCTGCTCCTTTCGCCAACACGGCAGACTGTGCGGTGATCCGTGACTGTAAGCCTCCAAGTCTCTGAACTCACTTCTGTAGAGTAGTTGTGGCCAAAAGAGCGACTGACTTACCATTCACCAGATACCCGCGGCCTGAACACCTACTATGGCGTTTGGGACAACACTCCCGACACACACGGTGTCTTGTACTACGGCACCTGTGTCTTCGAAGCTGGCACCCGCAACATCCAGGAGACCTGGATTGGGTCTTCGAACATAGCGGATATCACTGAGCTTGCCCTCAACAAGTGGCAGGTACGTTCCAGCTCTCCCGAGGAAGTGCCAAGTTTCTGTGCTAATGAACAAAGTCTGGCGGTGTTGTTGCCTCCCAGGGACAGACGGAGTGCGACAACTCTGGCATCGGGAAGTCGACTGTTAGGTGGACTATCAAGCATTCTTGAGCAGTCTCTACCTAGGTAGCGAAGGATGAAGCGTTGCTTTCTGGCTGATTGGGGTGATTCCATAAGCCTAGCTTCGTCGAAGGGGAATGCCTAGGTAAGCAGTGATTAGAGGATGTGTTGTTCTAGCTTGGAGTATGTAGTCGGTCCCTACCTATTAAAGCAGAGAGCTATGAAATTATCCAGTTTGTCTATGAGTGTGTTGTCATCGTGCTACAGCCTGTGCATGCCAGGGCGAGATGCACTATACTCTGTTTGTCGAGCCTTCCCGTCTCAGGTACAGCCCCGCCCGGCTAAAGCAGAAGCCGTTCTCCACTAGTTCCCTAGCATCCTTTGCATCATTGCGACACGTTACATTCTCCCCTCCGTTGCGCTCCTCGCAGTTGCTGCTGAACCCCTGATTCTTCACGCCGTCTTGTTCTCTCTTCATCGCCATGGTGTCTACGCGCTCGCATCCGCAAGGCGACTTCCCTGCCACGGAACCATCACCCGTCAAGAAGACGCCAAGATCACGAACTTCGACCGCGTCCCCGGCGCCCACCTCCCCAGACCTCAACACCTCACCCCCACCAAAGTCGCTTGCGAGGCGCGCAATCTCCAATGCCAAAGCCGAAATCAGCCCTCCCTCTCCATCCGAAATCGATGAGCCGACGTGGTGCCACACCGCATCCAATCTTACGATAGTTTGGCTTGCCATCTCGATCCCGCTTGTGCTATGGGACACGCTATATGTTCTTCTGCGCCCACATACTATGGCTGGTGGCGCGCTTCAGTGGCCCATCTGGAAGCCGTATGAGATTTACGCTTCGATCGATCACGTATACGGATGGCCCGGATGGGAAAACCATGATGGGTTTGGCGGCGCGCAAGCCATGCTGAACGCTGTGGAGCTTGTGCTATACGGCCTCTACGCTATGATCATATACAACCACAGTGTCCCTACATCTGGAGGTACTGGCCTGCAGCTCAGCGAGGGCGTGGGCAAGTTCCTCTCTGGCGGCAGGAAGGTACGCGGCAAGACTGGCAACCGCGCGCTCATCATCGGGTTTGCTGCAGCAGTCATGACAGTCAGCAAGACAGTACTCTACTGTACGTACACATGCGACACACGGGCAATACACAGGCTAACCATGGTAGACTTTAACGAGTATTTCTCTGGCTTCGCAAACGTTCGCCATAACGACTGGGCAACACTTTTGGTCTTCTACCTTGTCATGAAGTAAGCTGATATCCTGCATCTGTTTGCACCTCGTACTACAAGGGACAGAAAAGCTAACTTCTTCCGCAGTGGTCTCTGGGTCATCTTCCCCGCATACATGACTGTCGTCTTCGGTACCGATATCCTACAGGCACTCGACATCGCAGCCGATTCGTCATCTAAGAAGCGCTATTAGCTCGACTTTCGAAAACGTATTCTACACATACCAATGTCTTATTCTTTAATCGCTAGGAGTGTTCCACATCCACCGGCCCTTTCGTTAGGAGCCTTTCGCATTCTTGTGGCGTTTACGGAAGCGACGACAAGCGGTGCGGATCAATCGCCGGAGCCATGCGAAAAGCCCACCGCGCGCATGTCCAGCGTCGTTGGAATCGCCCGGCGCAGCTATTGACGGCTTCACGAAGCCTTTGGTTAGCGGACGATACACACACGTTGCCCGTCTAGGGCTGGTTGTTCTTACCACGACCGAAACTCCACTGACGTCACGCCTTAAGCCAATGAGGGAGGAGCCTGAATCCCAACCGTCCGGTGGCAGGCTCGCTGATATTCGCTGTGCGTCGGCGGTCAAGCTGTCGAGCATGTACGGCGCTTGTACTCGATCGGGCGCGGCGTCCATTGCGTGATGTTTTGCTGCTAATGTGTCGCGATCTTTAAAGTGGGTTGTACGAGTGAAGAGTTGGACGTCGAAGAGGCAAACAAAAGTGTATTGCGGTTGCGCTCGCTAGTGGTCGCATTCACTGTCTGTTCGCGATATACTTCTGTCGCACGCGTCAGAGAAGTTTCAGTTTCATTGTTACTTTTACAATATTATGCTAAGCATCAAACTAGCAGCCTCATCGTTACTCATTGCTGTCGTTCAAATTACGGTTCAGAACCATCCTCCATCGCATCGATGCAAAGTCTAAACAAACATCTCCGAGCTTTTTGACAATCTCTACATGACATTGCACCCGATACCCATACCACAAGTCCTGCCCTCCTTCTTTTTCTTCTGCGTGCTCTCTGCTTCCAAATCCTCGCTCCGTGGAACACCTTGTGCTCCATCCTCACTGACCACCCTGCGTCGTTCATTCAGATCTGCCATGCTCACTGCCTTAGCAAATGGTCCATCGTCAGTCTCCACAATCGCCTTCTTCCTCTCAAGCTCGTCTCTGCCAGGCGTGCTAAAGACAGAGCGTTTGCTAGTGACCGTTCCGCCGGAGACACATGAGCCCTCGGATGGCGAGACGTGTCGCGCTACGTTGCCGGCCGCTTCTGACATAGGCTTCCGAGGCGGTGATTCCGTGGTCTGTTGTGGAGGGGCGAGATGCATGCGCGCACGAATATCCTCCTCTCGCAGTGGCTGCTGCATGACCAAGGCGTCGTTTGCTGGGTGATCTGACGTTGTCGCGTAGCCTGCCTGAGAGCCAGACACTGCCCTCTCCGGTTGCGCAGCCCTTGCGAGCGCCCGTTCGCGCATCTTCCGACGCTCAGTCTGGGTGTAGAACGCCATGAGCTTGTCTTCTGGCCCAACGTACATCTGAGGATGGTCCGTGTTGAAAAGCCCAGAGCCATAGGATGGTTGCTCGTCGAAGGCCTCAAAGAATTCGAGCTTTGGCGTCGGTGCTGTGGGTGTAGTAGTAGGAGTGGCACGAGGAAGGCTTGATCTGAATTTTTGCTTCGAAGAACGCGTGGACTTTGGGAAGGGCGTCGGAGTTCCGAGCGGGAGATAGGCGGAGCGCTTTTGGGAGTTTGTCATCGGGGTGGGTGTGTCCGGGCAGTCGGTGTATGCGTCGCTATCGACGTAGTCACCAGCTTGGATTTCTGCATCTCGCGGGTTGGTGGCTGTCATGTCGTCTTGGTCATGCGACGTCGACTCGCGGTGCGAAGACAACTCTGTTGGCGTACTGTACGGACGTTTCTTCGGACTTGTTGATCTGGAACCGCGCTTTACCGGTGACCGCCTTGTCATCATTCCGCCGCCTCTCTTGATGGTGACATTGGCAGTGATATTCGCGGGAGAGCTTCCGAAGTTACCGTTCCCTGTTGTTGTGGTGTAGTTGGCGAAGTCCGTCTCTTCATGGCCAGAATCATGCACGTATGCTCGCGGATAGCCATCGCTCTTTGGCCGTACCTTCGCATTCTCTGATGCATTGTGGAGATCAACATTCGGTGATCCAGTAGTCGCAGAATCCTGTCGCGAAGCCTCATCCAAACTCGGTGGCGGCGACGGCGAGATAGCGCGAATCGTGGAGCGCGCCGTTGATGGACGTGTAGGGCTCGGCGGGCCAGGCGTAGTCGCGCGCGGGCGAAAGTGTGTTGACATTTTCGCAATTGACAGTCGTGATGTTGACTGCGAGGATGCGGGCGTTGCTAGGAGGATGTGGGTGGGACCGAACTGAGCGAACAATGCAGGGCAAAGCCGATCAACGACTTTCGGGCTAGAGCGCACGTGGGATGAAAACACAAACGTAAAACTCGCCCAAGCAGTGCGAGTGAGGTGAGAGAGGACGAGTGACGCGCTGTGGAGTGGTTGTGAAGCGCCGTTGGTAGCCTCTGAGTAGGTAGCCTACCCTCACTGCCTGTCGTCGGACTGATGTACAGGTCGCCTTTGCTACCACTTCGCTAATACTTATTGGTCGGTATACCAAGAGATGATCAAAGATCTCACAGACGAGAGTTGTTTGGAGGTTTTTGCGATGGCTTTTTGTTGCAGTTACACAGGTACGTCATTGTGTAAACCTTACGGCATATGTGCCGAACCGATGCTGCCTGACGCGCAGTTCACTTCGGCCCTTCGGAAGATTTCCACCGCATAGCCAAACATGATCATTCGGTTCTCATTCAAATATCTGAGCAGGTATATCTCCCTCCGTTTGGATTCTCCTACTTCAGTGCTGGAGGTTAGTGAAGGCCTGGAGTACTAGGATGTCGCAATTTTCGCGGAATCAACACAACAATGATTTAGCACTTTATGTGTAGGTACATCTAAGTTATTGCTGCCAATATTCGCTCCGTTCGTTTGTCGAGGTCCCTCAAGGCCACATCATCCAATAACCGTCCTCTTCACAACCAAAATACCCAACCGCTTCTACCCCGTGTACTCCGTGTACTCCGTCTCCTTACTTCTTAACACCCACGATCGTCGGATGCTTCGCCTCCACTTCCTCCTCGTCCGAATCCTCAGCATCATCAGAGCTATCATGCACCTCGCTATCCGAGTCGTCATCGCTGTCCTCGTCACTTCCCTGCTCGTCATCGCTGTCATCCTCCTTCTCATCATCGCTAGAATCATCGGAAGTATCTTCCTCATCGGTATCTTCATCTGCGTCGACGTCTGTGGAGCTGTTGAGATCGATCTGCTTAGAAGTACTGCCACCCTCCTCGTCATCACTACTTTCGTCATAGTACTCCTCAACGGAAGCCAAGACATGCGCATGATGAGTCTGGACGAGCGGTGCCTCCAAAGCACTGGTCATAACGTGGCTTTCTCCCTCACTGGAAGGTGCCGGTGTTCCGTACACTCTTGGCTGTTCGTGTACTTCGATACCCCTAGCACTGCCAACCTGGGCAGGTACTGGGTATACCACGGTCTCTCTCCATACTCCTGTACCCTGGGCGTGTTTACCCTGCCCTTTACTACCATCTTCTGTGAGCAAGCGCGCCTGGCGATCTTGGCAGTGCTTCGACGCCTCTTGACCCTCGAGCTTCTCGAGCGTCAGTGCAGCTTTATCGGTCCATTTACTGACGGTACGGAGTGCAACAATGCCAATCTTGATGTTGCGCTTGTCTTTGATGCTGATACTGCTAGCTGGCTTCGTCGATGTTGAAGCTTCAGGGGTCTTGGAAGTGGAATTCTTGCTTGAGTGTTGTAGAACGGCAGTAAGTTTAGGGCGGAGCTGGAGTTTCTGTGATGGGAGATGCATCTTGATCGAGTCTGTGCTACCAGGATATGGATGAATATGATAGGCTGTATGTCGCAAGCGCCAGGCTTAGAAAGCAGAATGGTAATGATTGTTGTTAGTGTAGTCGAGGCTGTCTCTTATGCTGAGTCTTGACGATGTGCGAGAATTGCTAGCTATATATACCTTGCTGCGTGACAGATCTGGAACACCCATTGAGCATTTATATCGTTGTCATTGAAGCTGTCCTACTGTGATACTTGATTGCCTTCAATATTTGGCTTGGAATGTAGGAGCCGCACATTCATTGTTTGGCAACCACCTGTCGCTTCTTGAACAATTGACGGCACACAATATCACCCATCATTTCGAGCTTGATTGCCAAGCGCGCGGCATACTACGTATGGTAGCGGTTCAAAATAGCCACCTTGGCTTATGACTTCCTCTCGCCAGCATACGAACGACTTCTAATGCTTTCTCCTGATTCGGGTTTGACGAAAGCTCAATATTATGAGTGATTTAACAGTCTGGCTTTCACATTACAACGATTTAGACAGTTCAGTTCAAAGATATTTCCCATTTGTACTATAACATGAACGCATGAACAAGCGACAGTTGCGCAAGCCTGCACAACTGAGCTAAACCCTTGCAAAATACGCCTGTGAAAAGCCAACCACTTGCACCAGGCAAGTAAACCAAACCAGCACTGAATCCATCGATAACCGAAACAAAATTCTGGCCGCACTCGCCATGACTGGCTCAACAACCAACACGTCGCATCTTCAAAACCTCACTTCTTGGTAGTATGACCATGCTGCAGATGAGCAGGTTTCCCTGTAGCCTTCTCGATCTTGTTCTTCTCCGCTGCTAGCCTTTGCTTCTCTTGGTTTCGTAGCCTTTCCTCGTCTCTCTTCTTTTTTTCATCTTTCGTAAGCTTTTGGTAGTCCGGGTTCATCAGCCCTGTTTCAACTTGCCGTCGAGTACCGGCTGGCAAAGCTTGTTTCTGTTCTGCCTAATCCATTCGTGACTCATCAGCCTATAAGGCATTTTTGATGACAAGTCTCGTATTGGGTATGGTGGGCTAGTGATACGTGGAGACTGGAGTGTGTGGCCACGGAAGATCGGGGTAGAGTAGTGTTGTTTGATTTCAAGTTGATGAGTTGGACTTGTTGAGGAAACCTGAAACTGCGTTCTTTGGAATCGTGTGCAGTGTGGTATTGTTGGTGGATGATGATGCGCGCTGTCTAATTAGAAAGTACTGGATTCGAGGTATATGTAGTCGGCGGATTTGCAG